ACCTCGACCTTCGCATCCTCTGAAGCTTCTGCCACGACCTCGACCATTTAAACCACGGCCTTAGCTGCTTGCACCTCTGCCCGGGTGACTGTGGTAGGTGGGAGTTTGACCATGTAGACCCGTTGTTGGGTTTTGTGGTGATCGATCACATGTAGAAGATACAAGTACAATTTGTGTTTGATTCTGCCTAGCTGTTTGTGTGTGTTGTTCCCGTTGTAACATGCTACGAGCCGTTTCCCATGACGGAGAGCTTTGATTGATATAAACCCCAATGACATCAAATTCTCGTGGCAATCTGCGGACCATCTACAAGACTCGTCTTTATTCACTGACAGGATTGTCAACATCTCCTAGCTGGTCCGCTAAATCTTTCAATTTCTGACAGTAAGCTTCCACTGATGAAGATAAGGCCAGAGTAAGGTTAGAAAATTCTTGAAGGCTACAGCAGCACGTGACCCTTTATTATTGAGAAAGTTTGTTTTGAGTTTGTACCATGCAGCTTGAGCGGTGGTATCACATTCTAGGATTCGAACCATGAGTTCATCAGATAGCGTATTATAGATCCATTGCAAGACAAGGGCATCGATCTCCACCCATTTGGTCATAACTAGGATCGTTTTTCTGTGGTGTTGGGTGTTGTCAATTTGATCAAGAACCTTGTAAGCTTTGGCGTGAAGACGAAACAGTTTCATCCACGAGGAGTGGGTGACCTTGGTACCATCTAGGGTTCGAATTTTAGTTTGAATATATTTCACAGTGTATGATGGGTGTAATGTCGTGGCCTTCACTTTGCTTGAACCAACATCATATTTGCCCATGATGATCTGTCGAACAAGAAAGAGGAAGACAGGGGATTAAAGAATTGAGAAGGGGACAAGACATAGTTTTAGCTCTTGAGTGAAGGTAGATTAGCCGCCGGTTCTAGGGTTCTACTGCTCTGATACCATAAAAGTGATTATGATATCGTGAATAAATCTCGTTGTTTGTTGATAATCAACGCCCTATATATATAGGGACAAATACAATACAATACAACCATTATGGAGATAAATACCAAAAATATAATCAAATATTGACAGCTATATATCTCTTAAAGATACTTACAACTCATAAATATAATCGGCTAATAGTTTGGGGTTAAATTTATTGCTTTGATTGGCGTCATCTCAGTTACCAAAACCGCCACGTTATCTTTTCCTATTAAAATTGTCAAATCAAAATTATAGCTTAGCCTTATAATTTTATTTGATAAAATATGTTACGTCTTTCTAAAAAAAACTTCCCGAACGAAAATTTTAGTGTCGTTTAATTTCTTAATGCATCTCTGATGGTTATAGTCAACAATAAGAACTCAATGAAAAGTCAAGTATTTATCTGTTGTTTAAATCAGGAATCAGGATAGTGTAGTTGTCGGTTGGTATATGTTTTACCAGTCAATTATTTATATGGAACTCCAAAAAGAAAAAGTCATCGTCTTTTTTTTTTAATCAATAATCAATAGTTATTGAAATTAATCAAGAGAAGTTATCGAATAATATCGAAAAAGGGGACTAAAACAGTTCTTATTCTAGACATTTCATGGAAAATATCGAAAAAAATCTAAAGTTAACCGATTTAATTTAATCAAGACAAACAAATTATAGAAGCCCAGAAAAATGGAAAGTGTAGCTGTGTAGGCGCTTTCTCTTCAATTTCTGACGATCTTACCCATCTAACTTGCCGTTTCTCATTGCGTCCTGAACGCGTAGTAAAAAATGAGTTTTTTATTCTTTTCAATTTTTTAATTTCCGTGTTCGTCTCGAGCAAGTCAACTCTGATATATACATGTATCATGGTAAATGCACAACTGGGAGGTAAGAAGGGATCTGTGAAGAAGAAGAAGAAAAATGAAGGGAAGTTATGATTACTACAAAGTGTTCGGCTTTAATCGGAAGTTCAAGATTTCCGAACGGCGGCCACCGCCGGACGTGATCGACGCATTCAGTTTGTGCACCAACAGGGAGTTGCAAATGTCGCCGGATCAGTTCCGGCGGTTCTTGATCGAGTTTCAGGGAGAAGAAGAGGTCGCAATCGATGATGCGAAGCAAAAAATGGAGCAAGCGCTGCACCACTTCCGACCCAACTTTACACGCTGCTCTTTCACTATTGATGATTTCTTCAAATACCTGTTCCTCGATGACCTTAATGGACCCATCACATCTCAGGTGTGTGAAAGATTTAACACTTGTCTTTATACGATTTTTAGTAATTCACGAACCCCACTTTTTCCCATTTTAGTAATTCAGTTCACTGGTAGTTTAGAATCAAACAATTTCATTTCAACTAAAAATGTATAGTAAAGTAATGCTACAATCTTGGATTATGATTGGATAATTTTAGGTTTTTTAATTTTGAACACGTATTGTTTCAGGTACACCATGATATGACTGCGCCATTGCAACATTACTTCATATATACAGGCCACAACTCGTACCTTACAGGAAATCAGCTCAACAGCGATTGTAGTGAAGTACCAATCATAAAAGCTCTTCGAAGAGGCGTGAGGGTAATCGAGCTCGATTTATGGCCAAATAGTTCTAAAGACGGAATTCATGTTCTTCATGGGAGGACCATGACAACTCCGGTGGATCTATACAAATGTTTGAAGTCCATTAAAGAGCATGCTTTTGTGAGTTCTCCTTATCCAGTAATCATAACTTTAGAAGATCATCTTACACGGAATCTTCAGGCTAAAGTTGCAGAGGTTAGATTTTTTGTCTTCTTTTAATCTTTATGATGCCCTTTTACGGGGTTTGAAGATTTAGATACTTAGCAACTGTTTATGGATTTTTAGATGGTCACTGAAATTTTTGGAGATGTACTTTACTGCCCTAAGGCAGGAGGTAATGATGAGTTCCTTTCACCTGATGCATTAAAGCATCATATCATTCTTTCAACAAAACAACCAAAAGAGTACCTTGAATCTAAGCAAGATTCGTGTGAAGAAGAGATGTTTGGGGTGGAAGATACACCATCCGACTTAAAAAACGGAACAGCAACTGATGAAGTGGTGAGTTAATCGGTTCAAGTTTCTATTTTTATATAATAAAAAAAGATTCTTGATTCAGTCTGATTGTTAATGGGTGAAATTAATCAACAGTTGTCCAAATTTCTTGCCATTGACTTTGATGATGAAGAAGATGAAGATGTGGAAAATGAGAAGCCTGGACAGAAAGCAGTTCTTGAGTACAACCAACTGATTGGAATTCATGCAGCAAAAGCAAAGAATGGATTAAGGAAGGCGTTAATGGTGGGATCTGGGAGAGGAAAACGACTTAGTTTGAGTGAACAAACTCTTGAAAGAGCTGCATCTCTTTATGGAACTGATTTAGTCAGGTAACAACTAAAGTTCCTTTTTTAGACTACCTTTGTAGAAACAGTCATGTGGGAGTTCAGTTCCAATGTGGATTAGGCTTCTTGTGGGCCCAGGGCTCTTATGCCAACCAGCTAGTGGTCTACTATATGATGCTTTTGGGGTAGGATGGTGTAGGCCAGTAACCTTTTTGAAAACATAATCTTATAGTTTCTAAATAAGGTTAATGTTTCTTCTAGGTTTACTCAAAAGAATATTCTTCGAGTGTACCCTAAGGGAACACGGGTAACCTCAACGAATTTCAGACCACTTGCTGCATGGATGCATGGTGCTCAGATGGTCGCGTTCAATATGCAGGTGAGAGTTGAAATGGAATGCAATTTTTTTTTTTTTTTGACATTTTGGTGGCATATATTATAGGCCCACAATACATACAAGGTTGTACTACATTTGATATGGATTCACTGTGCCAATGGACAAAGGTGGTAGGACCATGACTCTTTGTGAATCTCTGGTCTATGCAAAAGACATGGATGCCATTCTCATCCTCATAATTGAGAATAGCCCTACAAAGCTTCTCCATAAGGGCTAAGGCCTTGGACTACTAACACGTTTCTTTATGAATTAGGGGTATGGCAAATCGCTTTGGATGATGCATGGAATGTTTCGTTCCAATGGAGGGTGTGGTTATGTTAAGAAACCTGATTTTCTAATAGGTAGGGGTCCTAATGATGAGGTGTTCGATCCAAAAGCAACATTAGAAGTGAAGAAAATTTTGAGGGTCAGTCTAGCTCTTGTCTTTCATATTGAGTTTTATTTCATGACAATTTTGTGGTGAATATAAGATGTATTTTTTTTTTCAGGTGAAAGTATATATGGGTGATGGGTGGCGTATGGATTTTAGCCAGACTCATTTTGATGCATTCTCACCACCTGATTTCTACACAAAGGTTAGTTACATTGGTGGATTTTACAAAGTACAATGTTGTAATATGAAGAAATGAAAGTAAAATTGCTATGACAATTGACAAACAAATCAATAAAAATACGTTGTTATTTCTTGCATTTTAATCGTGAATAATATGCTGCCAAGATAAGTGAATGTATCTAATGCTAGCATATCGGTTGGATTGACAGATGTATATGGTTGGAGTCCCGGGTGATGTTACCAAGAAAAAGACAAGAATAATTAAAGATGATTGGATACCGATTTGGGATGAAGAGTTTACATTTCCATTAACAAGCCCTGAGTTGGCTTTATTAAAGATTGTTGTACGAGAACATGATGTATCCGAGAAAGATGACTTTGGTGGTCAAACATGTTTGCCTGTGTCAGAAATTAAAACCGGGATTCGAACAGTTCCACTTCATAACAAGAAAGGAGACAAATTTGAACATGTCAAGCTTCTTATGCGGTTTCAGTTCGAATAATGGATTTAATCGTTGTATTTTGTTTGTAAAGGATTTGATCACTGTAATTTGTAACAAACCAAACTTGAATGTTGTTCGATTAGTTAACAAATAAATTAGTAGTTTAATGTTTATAAAGATGATTGATTTTGTAATTTCTCAAATGGGTCGAGCTTTTCGGGTCAAACTTTGTAGTTGGATCCAATGTTTATAAAGATGCCAATCAAAATCATAGATCGCTCTTTTCCACAGTTCTCAAGATGACATCAACCGTCCGCCACCGTCTGCCACCCTCTCATCCTTCCGACTCCGACTCTTCCGACTCGGACTCCACTTCAACAACACCAAAAACCCTCAACCACACCGATTTTTCCAACACAATCTTCAGATCCTACATCGAGATCTCCGGTCTTGAATCCGCGGACCTCACCAAAATCCGATCTTTCTTGACATCATCACGCTCCGGCGCCCTATCATGTCTCATCTGCCTCGAACGCATTCGTCCCACAGATCCCACTTGGTCCTGCTCCTCTCGTTGCTTCGCCGTCTTTCACCTCCTCTGCATCCAGTCATGGGCCCGCCAGTCCTCCGATCTATCGTCACTACGCGCCGCCGCTCGTGGCGCAGATGATCGCAATTCGACTTGGAACTGCCCTAAATGCCGTATCGAGTTCCCCAAAACCCTGATCCCGAAGACATACACTTGCTTCTGCGGTAAAATCGAAAATCCGCCTCACGATCCTTGGATTTTACCTCATTCTTGCGGAGAAGTCTGTAATCGATCGTTGAAATACGACTGTGGACACAAATGTTTGCTTCTATGCCACCCAGGACCCTGTCCCTCCTGCCCTAAGCTCGTTAAAACCCGTTGCTTTTGCGGAGGTGTTGAAGATACCAAACGCTGCGGGTTTAAGGACTTTTCCTGTAACAAAACTTGCTCAAAGCTATTAGATTGTAAAACACATTGCTGTCCAGAAACATGTCATCCCGGCGAATGTCCGCCTTGTAAAGCTACAGGAGTCTATAACTGTCATTGCGGTAAGGTAACAGAGAAAAAAGAGTGTTTTCAGAGGGATTTCAGGTGTGAAACTCCATGTGAGAAGCTTCTTGGATGTGGGAAACATGTATGTAGCAAAGGGTGTCACGAAGGTGAATGTGGTGATTGCCCTTTGCAGGGGAAACGAACTTGCCCATGTGGCAAACGGATTTATGAGGGAATGGCTTGTGATGTTGTGGTGCCATCGTGTGGTGGGACATGTGACAAAAAGCTGATGTGTCGAATCCATAGTTGTCCTGAGAGATGTCACCGTGGGCTTTGTGTTGAATCTTGTAGGATTGTTGTCATGAAGTCTTGTAAATGTGGGAGCTTGAAGAAACAGGTAAAAAGTTAATTGCTTTCTAATGTTTTTTTTTGACCTTTATTTACTAAAAGATTGAGTATGAATTGAATTTAGAATAGGTTCCTTGTTATCAAGATGTAGTATGTGAAAGGAAATGTCAACGAGTGAGGGATTGTGGACGCCATGCATGCAAGAGGAGATGTTGTGATGGTGATTGTCCTCCTTGTTCAGAGGTATGACTTTTGATAACATTCCCATTTTTGTCATTTTCTTGATGGTAATCTTTAAGTCTTTTATGAAATTTCAGATATGTGACAAGAAGCTAAGATGCAAGAATCACAAATGCCCATCTCCTTGCCATAGGTAGATTAGTTTAGCATTTTCATATTTGGAGAAACATATAAGAAGGCTGGTTTATTGAGATAAAATGTGATTTTGCTTACTTCTTTAATTGCTTTCAAAGCGCACTTTTGAATATTTCTTTTTTGATGTTTCTTCCTTTATTATATGTTAAATTGGAAATGAGGCTTTAATAGTGTGATTGACTGGTTTTGTTTTTTTAGAGGTGCTTGTGCTCCATGTCCAGTAATGGTGACTATTTCATGTTTCTGTGGTGAGACACACTTTGAGGTGAGATTTAAACCGTTTGGGTTGTACAAATAAGTCAAGATTATTGTAGTTTTCAGTTATGTTGAATTGAAGAAAATCTAAGCTTTTTCTCCAAGAACAATGATTGTATTGTGAAGGGCTAAATGCAAGAAATAGCAAAGTACTTTCATTTATTTATGTATGATGGCATCATACTTTTATTTCTTTCTATAAAGCATTTTAATTTCCTTCTTTTTTTCCTAAGGCATTACACTTTGAAAAATTTATCCAAAAGCCCATGTATCTATATGACATTGCAATAATCGGGTAATTTGTCAAAGCAAACTGTTGTGATAGGAAGAAAATGGAAGTAAGATGCTATAAATAATGAACATATCTATGGAAGTTTGTTGCTATTTCTTGCATTAACCCTATTGTGAAATACCAGTTACGTTTTACATAAAGTCAAGTATACATTTATATGACAGTGACTTTTTTCTACTTAGTATGATACTTTTATTTTATATATATTTTGAATGTAATCAAATAATATGTCATGGAACATGTATCTATCAGGTTCCTTGTGGTACAGAAAAGGAGCAAAAACCTCCTAAATGTTCCAAGCGATGTCATATAACCCCTTTATGCAGGCATAAGTCAATTACTAAGGTAAATTACCACTCTTTATTCAGGCATAAGTCAATAAGAGACTTTTCCCATTAAGTTCTACTTTTTTACAAAGTTTCCTCATTTATATTTCCTTGTATTTCTCCAATTCATTTTTATTATTTTCAGCCACATAAGTGCCATTATGGAGCATGCCCACCATGTCGTCTGGTTTGTGATGAAGAATACCCTTGTGGCCATAAATGCAAACTAAGGTTTCACCTCCTTCTTTTTAGCATTATATTATTTCCTTTATGAATCATGATGTGTACATCAATTCTGAAAAAGAATCATGTATACAAATATTAAATGAAGGTGCCATGGTCCTATACCTCCTCCTAACCCCGAGTTTACATTGAAACCCAAGAAAAAGAAACAAAAGCTTCAAACTGAAACAACTCCTGGTTCTTCATGCCCACCTTGTCCAGAACTTGTTTGGAGATCATGCCTTGGTGAACATCTTGGAGCTGAGAAAATGGTACATTTTTACCTTTTTTTAACCCGTTAACAAAATCATAACTTTTTTTTTTTTAATAATAATAATATTTAATTATGCAGATGGTGTGTTCAAACAAATCAAAATTTTCATGTGATAATTATTGCGGAAACCTTCTGCCATGTGGCAATCATTTTTGCACAAAAACCTGCCACGCCCTTAAGATTCCTGGATCAGGAGGCGAGAAATGTGAGGACTGCAATCTACCTTGCCAACGGGTTAGCCTTCTCTTTTATAGTTGTTTATACAATCTGAGACAAATTTCAAAATTACCAAATTGCCCTTATTGGTCGTCTTTGTTGTTGTACAGGAGAGGGATCCTGTATGTCCACATCCCTGTCCCCGAAAATGTCATCCTGGAGATTGTCCACCTTGCAAGGTGCTGATAAAGAGATCGTGTCATTGTGGTGCTATGGTTCATGTTTTTGAGTGCTTGTATTACAATACCTTGTCTGAAAAGGAACAGACAGCTGTCCGTTCTTGTGGTGGACCCTGTCACAAGTAATCTTTCACTTTCTTATGTTTTTTTTTTTTTTTTTTTTTTTAATGTCCACTTGTACATATAACACACATAATGTGTTGATTTTTCAGTTATGGTTTTGTTTGTGCAGAAAATTACCTAACTGCACACATTTGTGTCCAGAGACATGTCATATTGGTCATTGTCCATCACCAGAAAAATGCTCCAAAAAGGTAAAAACACTCGAACCCTATCTTTTGATCTTGTTTGTTAATATTTCGTCCTCTCTTTTTGAATTTTATAGATGGCTAATGTGTCAATTTCTTAACAGGTTATAGTAAGATGCGGGTGTCAAAGTTTAAAAAAAGAGTGGCCATGTCATCAAGTACAAGCCACATATATCAGTGATGGGCGTGATCCAAAAGATATAACCAAAAATCAATTTGGTGTTGGGCTTCTTCCATGCAATTCAGAATGCAAGAGTAAAGTCAAAGTTGATGATTCTGACTTGCACCTCCGCAAACCTAAAGCTCCTGAGGTGGTGTCATAACTCATACATAATTATGTTTTCTTTTCTTCTTTTTGGATCACACAGGACATGACATGACACAACAGATTGTACAGTGTAGGACGAAAATAAAAAATTGCAATGATTTGTCCAATCTAAATTTTTTTTTTTTTTTTTGAAATTGTTTTCAGAAAAAGGAGACGGATGTGGAGAATCATGTCCGGAAACGTAAAAGAAGGAAAGAGAAATTACAACAAGACCATCAACTTTCAATGTTCCAGGTTAGTTTGTGTTGCTTGAGAAGGGTATAAGCGTGTCATAATTTGTTTGGTTTATGACTCTTTTATGGTGTGGATATTGAACAGAAAGTTATGGGGATTTTTCGGAAGCTATTGCTGTTAGTTATGATTGTGGTGAGTTTGATTTTAATGGCGTATTTTGGTTACAAAGGGTTGTTATGGGTGAATGATTGGATGAATGAAGTGGAAATACAAAGACAGAGAAAAAGATATCCGAGAATCTAAGGGTAGACTAGATGATACAAGGTTGACAGATTGGAAAAGATAGTGGACAACCCGTGAAAATAATATTATTTTGATATTATAGATTCTGTAGAAGGTTATGCTGGAATAATTAATCATGAAAGATGAAAGATGCTCTAGAAGATGTTTGAAATTGGTTTTGTTATTCTAGTTTCATGTTGAACATGTGTGGGAAGAACCTTTTGTATTCTTGTGTTCTTGAGTTTTTTTTATAGAGAAAGAAAAAGTCAATGTTCATTATTTTATTTATTTATTTTCATTTTTTTTTTCTTTTGAACTATCTATCTTGATTGTCACGGGGAACTATTTATAAAATTTTACGATGATGAAAGTATTTCTAGTATTTTATCTTAGCTTATTTGTTTTTTCATAACTACCAAAGATATAGGTAGTAAACATAAGTTATAAAATCAGTTTCACATCTTGACCGATTAGTAGGGTGTTTGAGATTATTTATTTAAAATGTTTAAACACTGGTAATAAACTATATTTAAGTCTTTGGATATGGGTTTATTTTTTTCTTCTTTGTCAACTTAAATAAAAAGTTTTTGATAAGTTACTTGTTTGTTTATTATGAAGCACCATTTGTCAAGCATAAAAGAATAATTTATCAACTAATTATTTTTTTAGTAACGTAAAAATTAATTCAAATATTTTGTTTTAAGATATCGGATAATTTAATAAGAAATTTGTAAGAAAAAAAAATCATAAGATGTTTTAAAGTACTAAATCCAAAACACTTGATTTAGCCTAAAATAAAAGTGATAACACATCCCTTACCGATAAATCTTAACATTTATTTTGTTATCTTGTCGTTTTCTAATAAAAGTCATAACCGCAAATTGAATCTACGTAACATATATCTTTTCAATACAATAACCAACATAAGAAATGCGTAAGTCTTGTTTTTTGTCATGTAATATGTATTTGGTGGATAGTATAAATATGAAAACATCTGGATATTTTGAGTTTGACCAACCAACCATATAAACAAATAAACTTTCATCTACCATACAAAGTCATTGAATTGGTGAAACCACCCCCATATTAATTTTATATATTAAAGAGGGGAGATGATTTCTTGCTTTCTTTTCTAAAAAATTTAAAGACCGCCGAACAAATAGAGTGGACGGTGGAGGGTCCTTCACAAGCCGCGGGACCTGAGTAACTACCACCACGTGTACCGGCGGCGATTTTTAATATATACCTGCATTTCATCTTCACATTCTACATGTGCTCTTTACATTTATTCGTTTTTTCCTAATCGATAACATTATTTTTTTTATCAGGCCATTTTTTAAAAATAATTCCCAATTAGAACAGGCAGCTGAATACAAGTATACAACATACTTACTATTAATAATAATAATAATAATAAATGTTTATGGATGTACAAAAAAAAAAAAAAAAAAAAAAAAAAAAAAAAAAAAAAAAAAAAAAACTTAAATCTGAATTAAGTATACATTAATTAGACACTCTGTTACCTAAATATTTGGTATTCTGTTGAGAACAGAGAGGCGCCACCGTCCCAATTAAATTGCATATTAATCACCATTCTATTTATTTATTTATCATTTTCAAAAAAAAAAAAAAAAAAAACACTATTTATGACTTTTCAAATAAAACTAAACCCCTTTGCACTTCCCATATACTCATTATTTACTATTTCTTCATAACTGATTTAAACCAACGACTTCACGTATTAGAGGAAAACATAGTTGTATTTATATGAAATTTACGTGGTTGTAAACTGTGGTAATATTATAAATTAATAAAAACACCAATCAAAATATATCATTTGTTTAAAATCATTGATAAATAGCAGCTATATGTTTGGAAATTGGAACACCAGAGTTGAAGCATGCATATTGTTGTTTAGTCAATCTATGTCTTCTGCTTCTTTGAATTAAACACAAACCCCACCTTCATAACATTTGCTTATCACTATCCATTATCCAACCACATCTTCATGGAAACCTCCCACCAAAAAATCTTAAATATAATTCAACAAACAAACCCTTCCTCTAGTTTTAACAACCCAAATGTAAAACAATTTTTATATAATAGAAATCTTTTTCTCTTCTCAAATCTCAACTAACAACAAAGTAAAACCACCAGTCCACCATTATCCACTATCCACTACCAAGTTTGTGTTGCAAAATCATCTTCTGTAACCTCATGTTAGACTAACACTACCAAAACAGCATGAAAAAATATAACATTTATCCTAATCTTTGGTGTTTACAAAATATATACCCCCAAAATATTGTAAAAATCAACCTCATGAAATCAAAAATCAAAAAATCTGTAATCTCATTCAGATATAATCGAAATCTGACCACTGGAAATGCTGCCATGGCTGTCGTCACAGAGCACCACCGCTCTTTCCAAATTGGCCACAATATCAGTCATGGTGGGTCTTTCTCTACCTTCCAAGTTCACACAATGTATGGCGGTGTACGCCATCAGCTCCACCGCCTCCGCCTCATTCACCTCCGGAGGCCCCCACTCTCTTATCCAGTATCTTTCCCAATTCGCCGGAAATCACCGCCGGTACAGCATAGTCCACTAGACTTATCGGCGTACCACCGTTGTCATCACTCTTGAATATCGCTCTCTTTCCGGTCAAAAGTTCAAGGAGTACTACCCCAAGGCCGTACACGTCACTCTTGGCAGTGACGACGTTTAATCCGTAGTATTCTGGATCAATGTAGCCGACGGTTCCGGCGGCCTTCGTTGCTCGGTGATCCGATTCGGATTCAGGACCCATTAGAGATAACCCGAAATCAGAAACCCTAGCGACCCAATTCGCGTCTAGCAAGATGTTAGATGATTTGATGTCGCGGTGTATGATCGGAGGAACTGCGTAATTATGAAGGTATTCGATTCCTCTTGCAGCATCCAACGAGATTTTGATCCGCATTTTCCATGAATTCAACAAGCTGCTATTCTTCTCCACGTTCTTCTTGTCGTGTAGATGATCGTACAGAGCTCCATTTCTCATGTACTCGTAAACCAAGAGCTTTTCGTCGCGTTCTTCGCAGTATCCCACGAGTCTGACTAAATGTTTGTGATGAAGACGAGATAAGAAAGCTAATTCTGAATCAAACGCGCTTTCTTTCTCTTGAAATTTCTTTGTTTTTTGACTTGTTTCCCCTCTTTTAATGGCGACTTCACGACCATCTATGAGCTTGCCTTTGTAGACAACCCCAAAACTCCCTGCACCGATTTTATTCTCTTGGGAGAAGTTATCGGTTGCTAAAGCTAAGTCGGCGAAGGTGAATTCCTCTTCCCTGTCAGCATGTTTTGAAGATGTTCCACTTCTTTGTCGCCGGAAAAAGCTCTTGACGCTTGTCGCCGGATTGTTGAAGATCTTGAAACTGGACTGCTGTTTGAAAATTGAGGAGGATTGAGTGTAGAAGCAATGATTGTGGGTTGAACGGAGTTGTGTATCTTTTTGTTCCCACAACAAACACCGGTCCATAAACAGTAAATAATAGTACAGATACCTGCAAAAGCCCCAATTGATCCGACTATGGCAAACGCCAGTAACCCCTTTCTCAAAGCTTTTGAAGGTGGAGACCGTGGGACGTTATCATCTCCAAGCGGCGGTGGTGGTGGTGCCAATAATGGTGGGAAGAAACTGGATATATCACATGGCTTACATATTGATCCGTAGCCAGAACAAAGAATTTGAGATTGAGTGTATATACCACAACTGCAATCGGATGTAACACATGGCCCTGGAAGAATTTGTCTCAATGGAAGCTCGAAGTCTGATGGATACGAAGCGTTTCTAACCCATCCTTCTCCCCAGCAAATTACAGAGAGGTTGCTAGTTGTTAATCCACAAGTAGAATCCAATCCAGCAACGATAGACTCGAAGGAGACACCAAGTATATTATAACTCATAATCCCTCCTCCACCACCCCAACAAACTACAGAGCCATTTAATTTTCGCAAAGCACACGTATGGTTCGCACCAAGCGCAAGTGCAGAGAACTCGAAGGATGAATGATATGGTACATTGATCTGTCCATAATCGTTGTTACCTCTGCAAATCAAAAAACCGGTAGAATTTATACCACAGGCGTGATTACCTCCAACAGCAACATTCAACATGCGAAAATTTGTAAACGCAGCTTGAATAGCATTCGCTGCTTCTGAATTGGTTCCAAAACAAATGATTCCAGCGTCGTCCCTCAAATCAACACCACAAGTAAACCCTAATCCCGATGAAATCGATTGGAGATGATGGTTTTGAGTTGGAATCCCGTCACCATACCTCCAACAATAGACGTTCCATCCAGAACTATTCGTGATCGAGCAAATTTGAGTGTCTCCGATGGATAACTGACTCAAAAGCACCGTTTCGTTGTAGTAGAGACGCTTCGGAGTCAGGCTAGGGTTCCAACAGACGAGACTGGAACCGCCGGACCTGACGCCGCAGAACACATCACGACCACCGGCGATTGACTCAAATGAGATGTTAGAGAATACATCAAACACTTGGCCATTGCGCCAGCATTGGATCCGTTGACTCGGTTGACCAGCGACGATACCGCAGACAGTGACGGTGGAACCATAGCTGATAGAGACAGTGGTGGCGGAGCCACCAAAGGCATGGGCGGTATATAAGATAGAAAAGATGAGACCGACGACGGAGATGACGGATGCGGATAATGTCGTCATCTGATGGTCGGGTAGACGCCGGCGACGATGTTTTGCATCGGTTGATATGAACGGAAAATTTTGATTGAGAGAGGAATACTGGAATAGAGAGAGAGATAATCACATAATAAATGAAAATGAATATTCGAAAATAAAAGAATTTTAAATTTTCAGATAATCTGTTACCAGTGAGAATGTATAGAGTAGGGTGACGTACTGTCACACACGGCAAGCTATAATAAGATGACACGTGTTACTCTGTCACCGGTGTGCAGCTTTGTTTACACGTAAGCAAAATACTTTAGTTCTAGGTAGCAAGCTTTGACCATTTACTTTTTGAAATACTGAAAGAGTGAAGATTATTCTTTTTGCTTTTTGTAAATGGGATAAATAAAAACAATATAATATTTAAAATTTGATTTTCTGAATGCTTAAAAGATAAAACAAGTCGTTTTTAATTGTTACTTGTATTATTGTAGCATGTATTTGCCCCTCTTATGTGTGTGTTTTAATAAGATATTCAATAATAAAAACAGAAATAAAATATTAGGTACGACTGATGTATATTGCATGTGGGACAATATTGTATTTGTTTCGTCAACATTCATATGTTTGGTGCATGAAACATAAGAAACTCTTCTTCTAAGTTCTAATGAAGTTGTGGTTGACGGAGAAATTTACTAATTAGTCCTTAGAGGTTGTTGTCATTTGTCTTAGGGCGTGTTTGGCAAGAAGCTTTTTGAAGCGTTTGGGAGCTTCTAGCTTTTAGCTTTTAACAAAACGCTCTAGTTTAAACAAAAAGCTTCGTTTGGCAGTACGAGCGTTTAACTTTTAGTTTAAACAAAACGCTCCAAATCTAAAAGCTACTTCATGTAGCGTTTAACAAAACGCTACTGAGCTTTTGAAATCAATTTCCATAACTACCCTTAAAAATATATTTATATATTTATTTATTTTTAATCAATTGTCATTTTATGTAATTTTCTATATTTTAAAAGCTACCAGTTACTTTTGTCAAACACTCATATAACAAATAAAAGCTACAGCTTCCCGCTACCAGCTACCTGTTACACGCTACCAGCTACCCGCTACCAGCTAACTGCTAGCCGCTTTCAGCTAACAGCTACTTTTGTCAAACACGCCCTTAGTCCAAAGTCTAATACTGGTTTCTTAGAATGTTCGTTATTAATACTAATAGGAGATATATGTTAAATTGATAAAAGTATTTGTCTAACTTTTATGATCTCCTTTATTCATATTTTAATCCAAATTTATCTCTTTATATTTATCTTATTGTAAGTATTGGTGACATTAATTTGCCATTTAATAAACATTTCATTTTTTTGTCTAATAAGGATACTTTACTTTCAACAAATCTTTAGTCGATAAAACTTAAAATTTAAGCAACTCTTACTGAAAGGAAAATGTCAAAATACCACTTTTCTTGTATACGGCAATATATTTGCTAATCATAGACATACATATACACAGATAATACACATGTGTCTATATATCTATGCAATTATAGCGGTTCAAAATCAAATATCGGTCAAGGGCTGATATTCGATATATATAGGTTATCGCGGTGGGATATCGGTATTTTTATATTACGTAGCCTTTGTAACCATGTGTTGTATTTGATGAATACAAGGTCATTAAGTAAAACATATAGTAAATTAGAAAATGTTCGAAGAAAATGTTTGTCAATCCCATAAAAACCCCACCATATATCTACATTTTAATAATAAATGAAGTGATTTAATAAAAACTTTAGCTATAAACGCTATTTCACCGCTATCCCACCGATATTTGTCAAATATCAGTCAAATAGCGGTCAAATATCGGTCAAAATTGCCGATATATGTGGTACCGCTATTTTGGATTGCTATTTAGTACTGATATGTTGACAACTACCGATAACTGCTATCTCACCCCTATCTAACCGCTATCGCACTGCTATTGACTGCACAACTACATATACGTGATAGATTTGTAATTTGTTGATTTTTAATGTTTGTTTTTGTTTTATGGTTTTGTTGATATTTAATTCCAATTTTCTCGAACCAAACCAATCTTGTTGATTATGATACGAAATAATATATCCCAATATCAATCTGATTAAAATTACGAGATGAAATTTGATTAATTTCGGTTGAATTACAACCACAAACCAACAAAATTATGCACAATATGCATCTACAACCTGGACTATGTTGGTATGTGTTTTATAATATAATATAAATATAATACTTCCTCTATGTATTTAGGACAACTTTATTATACTTTATGATAATAAAAAAGTGAAACTTATTGATGATGAATTATTGACCACACCCTTTTCCAATAATGTTGAAAGAGAATGTCTACGAATATAAAAATGAAAATCATGTAAATTTATAAAATTAATTTAGCTCAAGCATTTATTTATGTATACCACCATTTCAAGGCCAAGCATGTTGCATACATACACCTTTTTCTTAAAACCATCATTACTATGCACATGAAATGCCTACAATTCTGGGCACATAAGTTGCAACTTGTTTTCTAATCTTTAGACCACCTCTTTTTCTATACATCCAAGGAATCCGCATCTATTGTAAATTATCACTTAACGTAATATTTTCACAATAAAATGTTTATCATTTAAATAATCAATCCCAAACACCCTTTTAATAAAATAGAACTTTATATATATATATATATATATATATATATATATATATATATATATATATATATATATATATATATATATATATATATATAGTTTTACATAGATGTAACGAGTAAATGAGATACAAACTGCGCCACAACCCTTTTGGGATAGCAAAACCAATTTTTTTTTTAAAACAACATCCATAGATCTTGGGGGTCATAACATTACTATGCATAATTTGTTGGACTCTATTGAAGAGCTCCACAGCATCTGGCGTAAGGAAACCGAAAGTATCAAATGCAAAAGGTATAAACATGTGTTGATTTTCTATGCACAAGTCTGTTGAATCGTGGTGGTCGCTCACCCCACGTTCTTAACAGTTCTTAACAATGTGGTCACTCACCCTGAGTATGTTGAATCGTTGCAAACAATTCCTAACAAGGTGGTCGTTCACCCCAAGTTTGTTAAATTGTGGCTTAGGTTGTTGCTTCTCCCCCGATGCACTTTGCAGGTGTTCAGCCCCAAGAATAGATAGGAAAATAGATTTGGGAACAAGAAATCCTTACAAAATCGTTGTATATTGACCTCTTTAGCTATAAGGGGGAAAGAGGATGGTATTGTCAACATTAGTTGATATTTTGTTTGACAATGCGGGTCTTGGGTCATCTGGTCAAGGAACAAATCACTTTCGGGATAAGAGAATAAAGGGCAACACCGACGTCGGGCAATGTCTCCGTAAGGTTGTTGATGGACATTTTACAGCAGCAGTGAAAGTGTTATGCTCATCGGGTGTTGCTTCATACGACAACGATACCATCAAAGCTTTAGAGGCTAAGCATCCATACAAGCCACCCCCATCCATGCCAAGCACCATTTATTTTGAGCCTTCCCTTGTAGTATAGATTGACAATGTCTTTGGTTGCATTAAATTGTTTCCTAAAGGAACTTCGTGGGGGAGAGACGACTTGAGAGCTCAACACATTTTGGATGCTCTATATAGGGAGTGGTCTGTTATAGCCACATATCTCTTACGTGTCATCACCATAATGATTAATTTGTGGCTAAGGGGAAGATGTTCGTCGTGTCAAGCAAAATTTGTTGCATCTTCACCTCTTACTCCGCTCCTAAAACCTAACAATGGAATCCGTCTTATTACGGTGGGCACTATATGGAGGCGTTTGGTTTCGAAGGTTGTTATGAAAGGCGTTGGTAAAGAAATGACACAATACCTTAATGATTTTCAATTTGGATTAGGTGTGTTAGGTGACGTTGAGGTCGTTCTTCATAGTGTCAATAGGGTGTTGAGTAAGTGTCATGATGATGGGTCTCTTGCAATGCTTATTGTGGATTTCTCGAATTCCTTCAATCTGGTGGATAGATCTGTCTTACTTCATGAGGTCAGGATGAGGTGCCCTTCCATTTCTTTGTGGGTCGAATTCTTATATGGACATGCAACAAGGTTGTATTTGGGAGATAAACATATTTTGTCCACTACTGGAGTTCAGCAAGGCGACCCTTTGGGACTACTTCTTTTTGCTCTTGTATTGCACCCACTTGTTCATCAGATTAAAGACAATTGCAAGCTTCTTCTTCATGCTTGGTATCTTGATGATGGGACCATTATTGGAGCTTCAGAGTTGGTGGCCAGAGTATTGGACATTATTAAGGTGACATGCCCAAGGTTGGGTCTTGAACTGAATATTAAGAAAATTGAACTAGTTTGGCCTTCATGTGATGGTAGGAAGCTTCGCACGGGTTTATTCTCTACTGACATTAGGAGACCATTACTGTAACATCCAAAAATTATGACTCAAAATTTTCATTTTTTGATTTAATTAAAAACAGTATTCCAAAACATTGTTTATACATCCCAATCAAATAAATATGTCAAACATCATAAAAATCAGAGTATGTCCCATAAACAGAATCCATATGGTGTGTGTGATGTAGTTAACCCGAGCTCTTCCCCTTGGAACCGGAAGTACCTGAAACATAAACTAAAAATCGTAAGCACAAAGCTTAGTGAGCTCCCCAAGATACCGCATACCAAACATATCATATAACGGACCTCGCCCAATGAGACACGTGCCCCGCCCACACCCGCATAACGTTCCCCGCCCAATGAGATATGGGCCCCGCCCACACTCGCATAACGGGCCCCCGCCCAATAAACATACATACATAAGCACATACAAGTATCATACAAACAACAAGTATATCGACATAACCAATCGAGGGTCGGCCTTGGTGCCTTAGACCTGCTAAACCCAGTGAGGAAACTTACCTCGAAAAGGTGAATGAAACGAATGATCCCTGACTGTTAGTCCTACAGCTCCCCGAGCTATCAATTGCCAAATAAAAACTA